CTCTCTCTCTCTCTCTCCCTCTCTCTCTCAGGGCAAAGGAAAAAGGGCTCAGCAGCAGTCTTCTTTGCACGCGCGCAGCCGCCCAGCCAACTCAGCCCTTTTCCGCTCCACTCGCCACTCGAACAGACGCGTAAAGTGAGCCAGCCGAGCGGCCACCCTACCAAAAAGAGAGAGAGAGCAACACTTCTCCGTATCTGGATTGCAATGTCGACTCGGGTCCCGATGGATCATCCAGGCAAGCCGAAGACGACGGATCAATGGCCCTGGTTGAGCGTGTTGAGCACCGCCGAATAAGCCGCCTTCTTGTTGTAGCTGCCGTCCCACAGCAGCGGGCTCTTGTCGCTTCGCCACGACAGATTGTCGCTCACGCCCCATACGGTGATGCCCACGCAGTTGGACTGGGCCAGGCAAGCCGAGGTGGCCTTTGCATAGTCCGACGCCGCAGCACCCGCGATATCGAGCTCCGTCATGGCGCACTCGGGAGCGGCCGAGCAGACTGCCTTCATCGCAGCGCCCACCCCCGACGCATCTCCGAACGAGCCCGGTGCTGCCAGATGCGACTGCGACCCAATGCCGTCGATGGGAATACCCTCGCTGCGCCACTGCTTGACCTTGCTCACCAGTCCCGTCAACTTCGGATACGTCGAAACATCCAAACTATTTCCACATCATGTTAGCGTTGCTTCCTCTCTCGCGCAGGGGGAAGGGGGAGAGGACCTACTTGTAGTCGTTGATGTAGAGCTTCGCGTTCGGGTCGGCGGCACGTGCGGCTTCAAAGGCGATCTTGACGTACGACTCGCCCAGCACATTGTAGAAGACGCTCTTGCGCATGGTGCCGTCCTCGTTAAAGATCTCGTTGACCACATCCCACGCGTACACCTTGCCCTTGTAGCGGCCGACGAGCGTCGAGATGCGCTGCTTGAGCACGTCGGTCAGATCCGTAGGATCCGTGATCGCCTGCACCCACGAAGGCAGCTGCGAGTGCCACACCAGCGTATGGCCACGGATCATCTTGCCGTTGGACGTCGCGTAGTTGACAAGCGCATCCGCTCCGCTAAACGTGAACTGCCCGCGGCTAGGCTGAGTCGCATCCCACTTCATCGAGTTCTCCGGAGTCACGCAGCCCATCTCGCTCTTGATGATGTTCGACACCTGCGAGATGGAGAACGTGCCCTGGTCCGTAGCCGTGCCAAAGTAGCGCCGACCGTCGGCCTTGATGGCAGCGTTGAGCGTGGTGGCAGCACGCTCGCGCAGCGTGTGCGCCTCGGCGGGGATCACCGAGGCACCCACAGCGCTGACGACGACCAGCGTGGCAGAAAGCAGGGCTGCAAAGTTGGTCTTCATCGTGGTGTTTGTTTGGCGTTTTTGCTTCTGTTTGATAGCCTGCTTTGGGTTGGTTGGGCTGGATGCTCGAGCAGATACGACGAGGTTGAACCTTTATATCTTCTTGGAGCTTCAAGCATGGTACAGCATGGCAGCGAGACCGGCAAAGCATTGTCCGGACTGCCCTTGATGCAGGCTTCAGCATCTCCAGCAAGATCGGTCGCTGATGCTCGTACAGCTATCCGTGCAGGGTTTCGAATCTGACCTGGCCCACGATCAGCTGAATCACACCGAGCTTCAATAGCGCTACGATGCTGCAGTAGGCGCCTATGTGACACCGGCGACCCTGGTGCAAGCTGGCTGTCCCTGCGCTGCCTGACAACCACACGCCCATTATGGTTAGCGCCAAACCGGTTTCGTTGGAGCGCCACAGTGCCAGCATGACGCTTCGAGATGCATGGCTTAAGCGAAGCGGGGTTGTGCAGAAACGCGATTCGCACTGCAACCAACCCTTTTCGATTAACAAGCTATAAGCATCCCTGCTGTCATGCTTCGGCGTTCTTCGCGGTTGCCTTGTCAACAGCCGCCGAAGCTGCAGCGTCCTGCGATGGATGTCAGAGCCAAAGCTTCAGCCATCCGCTGCAAGGCCACGCCGAGATGAGCGCGCGGTGTGACACGCCTCGTGGCTGAAACGTCGCCGGTCTGCATCGGCTCCCCGCACAGCTCTCAGCCGAAGCTCGCTTCTCGACCGGACCCTATAGATTCCCGCGATCGACTTCCAGTCGGACACACCAGTCACACCACTGCGAAGAATCGGATGCCCGTGTCCCGCTTTGTGATTCACCCGGAAATGCGTCACGAAACACTGCTTGGTTGCACGATGCATTGCGCCGTCTTCGCTCGACGTTACAGAGCGCCGATGGAACCCTGGACGTAAACTTTGTCGTCCTTAGCACCGTTGCACCTCCATTCCACCTCGGAATTGTCGGCGGCGATCTGTGCCGCGAGCTGGAGTGGCAGAACCATGGGCCGCCTAAAGTGCATCTCGATCCACCACCGCCTTCCCTTGCTAGCGTCGGTAATCTCGCGCACCAAACTTGGCCCAGATGCAGACGAGACCAGGTGTAACGTGTGCGCTACAACATGGTTGCCGTGTGCGATCTTGCCGCGGAAGCCGAACAGGCGCGCGAGCAGCGACGAGACGTGGATCGGATTGTAGTCGCCACACACGCGGCACCATGCGCGCGGCGAGGCCGAGTGCATCTTGATCATGCCCGCACTTGTGTAGTTTGCATCCTTTTGCGATCGATCGAGCGACTCTGCCGGTGGTGGAGCATTCGAGCGCGGTGTAGACGGTCCGAGGGCCAGGATCGTGATGATCTGTCGCATCACCAGCTGCGACGCCGAAGACGCAGCAAAGACGTCGATGTGGATGTCGAGCTCGACGCCTCGGCGAGTGACGCGCGCGAGATTGTCGTTGCCACCGACGCTGGCGTGCGCAGTGAGTGGCTGGTCGGTATCGAACGTGGCGTGGAATTCAATGCGGTTGCGCACGTTGACTGCGCCCAGAGGCGAGACGGGCAGTCGTGGATGCACGACCAGCAGCAGCATGAGCTGATTCGTCACTGCAGCCAGCACGAACTCCTTCGCCCCCACCTCGCTCCATTCTGCAGCGCCGAGTGACTTTCGATAGGCTGCCTTCTGCTCGTCGCCGATGCGCACGGGACAGCGGAGCTCAAGCCGGGGTAGCTCGATCTCGTCGCGACCCTGCACACGCAGACCACGCCCCAGCACGCTTCGCACCGCTTTCGGCAGCACTCCGAAGAGGAGGAGGAATGCGCGGTCGGCCCAGCCGATCTCGGTGGGTGCAAAGTCGAGCTGCCATCCGTCGGAGCGTGGCGCAGCGCGCAGCAGGAACGAGAAGAGCGAGCGCAGATGCAGACCACTCAGCGCGTAGGCGGCCGCACCCACACCGAGCCCTACTCCGATGCGGCTCATCGCGAGTGGCAGATCGGACCGCATGGTGTGCATTACCGACAGGCACGAGTTAAGGTTCAGAGCCAAGATAGGGTTGCGTGGCGGAGATGGCAACGGCAAACAGGGTCCACCGCGGCTCTTCCGCAGCGTCGGTCGGATGCCGGCAACTCGCGGCTTCCGTGTCCCGGAACCTGCACTCCAAAATTCGGCGCTGTGCCGACTCCACCTCGTAGCAATGCTCCACCCTCATTCCCACGCTACCACGCTGAACAATGGGTCAAGGGCCGGTATGACAGTGCGATCGATCGAACATGCTGCGGCGCCCACTCTATCACTAATCTTTGCGTCGGAAGACGTCCGAGCTGACGGTGCAGCGCGGGTCGCGATCGGATCAACCGGGCTCATTCCTCCTTACTTCACACGCTTCGTATGCTTGGCAAACTCGACTGATGAGATGCGCATACATTTCATCGCCACCGCTGATACTGGCGACTTGAGACCTACACCGCAGCAGCTGCCTGGCTGGCTCCGCTGCTCCTGTCCGCCAGCCTGACAGACAGCTTCTTGAGGCGCGTCGAGACAAACACGTCGCGCAGGCCGTCCTCGAAAGCGACGGGGTCGAAATCGCTCGTCGCCCTCATGTCGAACCTTCGCACCAGGTTGGCAATCACCAGTCTGAGCTCCATATACGCCAGCAGCTTGCCCACGCAAACAGTAGCGCCGGCGGAGAACGGCACAAATGCACGTCGGTCGAAGCGCTCCTCCTTGTCGGGCTGCAGCCACCGCTCGGGGCGGAAGGCATTGGGTTCCGGGCTGAAGTTGCGCGCATCGCGCTGCATCGTCCACGTCGGGATCGTAATGACCACGTCCTTGGGCATCACCATCTTGCTCCCCGACAGTAGTGGCACTACGGTCGAATCCCGGGTGTTGACCTTCTGCAGGCCGCCCGCCAGAGGAGGGAAGAGACGCATGGACTCGTTGATCACCGCGTTCAGCAGTGCACATTCCCGGTCGAGCCGCGCAAAGTCGCTCACAGCCGTCTCGTAGTCGGTGCCGAACACGCGGTCCAGCTCGGCACGCAGCTGCGCCGTCACCTCGGGATGCTGCAGCAGCAAAAACAGCGTCATGGCCATCACCGTCGACGACGTGTCGCTGCCGGCAACGATGATGAGGCGCGCCTCGGCAGCAAGTTCCGCGCGTCGGCCGTGGTTGTTGCGCATATTGTACTTGTCATACGTCGTCGAGTCGGTCTTATCCGTGCTTTCCTCCTCGGCACTGGCTTCGTAGAGGAACTGCATGATGTCGGCCTTCTGACCGTGCGCGTCCTTGTCGCGCTGCTCGAGCAGCTCCATGACCATGCCCGCGTACGCGCCCTTGGGCGTCGGGATCTGGCGCGTCACTTCGATCATGTACGGCCGGTTGTTGACCACCTGCTGAAACTTCATCAGATCCTCCAGCTGCTCCAGAATCGGCGACAGCTTGCCCTGCTCGAGCAAGCCCAGATTGCGACCAAAGCCGACCTCGGAGATCATGTCGAATGCAAAGAACATGCCCCAATCGTCGATGTCCACCGCCTCGTCTGCGTTGGCGCGCTTGGCCAGCTGGCGCAGCATGATCTCCATGTTGTTGACCAAAGCACCTTCGTAGCCCTTGAGTGCCTTGGCGCTGAAAGCGGCGTCCCACGTCTTTCGTCTGCGCTGGTGCTCGGTGCGGTCGGTGAGGTTGATCAGACTACGCATAATGTGCGGCTCGCGACCGCCGGCTGCGCCGTCGTACCAAGGTCCTTTCCAGCACTCGCTCTTGGCCGCACTGATCGCCGCGACGGCATCGGGCGAGTTGATGCTCACCTCGCAAGGTCCCGTGCGCACCACATCGCCATACTCGACGTGAGCCGCATGCACCGCGCGCGGTCGCAGACCCTGTCGATCGATTCCAAACGTACTCCACTTTGACAGAGCCCAGGCTTTTGGCCCAGGCACGTCTGCGATGCGGTGAAACTTGAGCCGATACACACCGATGCTCGCCAGCACAAACACGGTGTACGCGACCACATCGACGATGGTGGCCAGCACGGTTGCAACGATGCCCGAGTGCAGGTAGGTGTAGCGCACGGTCAAATCGAGCGCAAACAGGCCGGCATACAGCTTGGCGATCTGCTCGGGCCACAGATCCACCAGCCGAAACAGGAGCAGATGCGATGCGAGCGCAAGCGTGCCGATCAGCACGAAGCGGTCATCCACCAGCAACGATGGCGTCGGCGCGGAAGTCGACGTCATCACAGGCTATCCGGTTGGGAGAGTCAAGAGGAGGAGAATACGTGAGTTAGGACATTGGCGGCAGGGGCACGGCGATACATATAGCCGCCTGCCCGGGCTGCCTACCTGTGGCCCAAGCGCCCTGCAACAGCGTCAAATGCGCGCCGGCTTAGCGAGGGTCAAGTCAGGGCAGCAGTGCTTTGCAGACAGCGGCTTGGAATGGCAATCCCCGAAATGTGCAAGGCTCATGCAAACCGTCGGCGCGGCCGGCTGGCGAATGCACGCACAAAATGCTTGACAGGTGCAGGGCGCTGTGCCACTGAGACATGCCGTTCCGACCGACGACAGCTGACATGCCCTGCGTCTTGGAGCCCCAGCCTCGGAAAAATCCACTGCTGCACACACACATCCCAGGGAAGCGGAGATGCAATTCGCTCTGCCGACGCTCGATCCCGCGCTTGCTCCTCGACGTCGTTGCAGCTTACCGCTCTCATGCTTCCATTGTCCCACGTCCCCATCACGCTGGCATTCACCGAACGTCTTCTCACACGCTCGCCATAGCCCAGCTTGTCATCAGACTCAAAGTTTCAAAGCAAAGACCAGAATCAATTCAACACCAATCACTTGAGCATTACGACTGAAGAGCGACGATCGAGACAATGTGCCCTCAGGAGGGCTGCAAGGACAGCGCTAATCTGCTGGGGGTGCAGGCCTTCTCGCCTAATAGTAGGCCCCCCTGCCCGAGCCGCCGCCGCGCGTATAGTCGTTGTACTCCTTCGGATTCTCGGCCTCGACAATCTGAAAGATGAGCTGCGACAAGACCGTGTCGCTCTTCCGCCACCACGACCGCATCTCGCCCCTCTCGTACACCTTTTCTGGCGGGAGCACGAGCTGCGAAAGCACGGAAGTGAACTTCGGGGGCTTGACGTCTTCCTTTGTGTCGAGCGGTTCCTCGACTGCGTCGTTGGCGCCCTTCTTCTTCTTGGCCGTCTTCTTGGCTGGAGGCTTTGGAGGCTTCGGAGGCTTGTTGAGGCTGGACAGGTAGGCCTGGTACGCTTGGCGGGCCTGTGTCATCTTGGTCTTTGCTTCGGAATAGGTGTGCCCCTCTCTGCGGTAGTAGCGGATCAGCAGCAGCTCCACCAGCTCGTTGACCAGCGTATCGTTGCCTCGCCCGCACGTCTTGAGGATGATGCGCAGGGTCTGCAAGGCGGGCATCGTCTCCTGTGCGGCACTCTTTGGCGTGGCGAGCTCCTCCTCCGCATCCAGCAGCGGCCGAAGCGACAGCGAGCTGTCCGTCGTGCACAGCGTCAGCTCTTCGAGGTGGCGGAGCTTGCTGATGGCGACGTAGATCTGCCTCTGCGCCGAGAAGCCGGGAGGCAGCAGGATCTCCAGCTTCTTGAGCAAGGGACTAGCGGTGATGATGGCGGCGGCCCGCGAAAACGTCGTGCTTGTGGAAGGATCCAGCGTCGAGGGGCCGCGCATCGAATTGATCCGCGCTTCACGGAGCGCAGGGAACTCGCAGTCGATGAAGATCTCGCTCCACAGGGCGTTGAGGCGGCGAAGCTTGGGGAAGACCAAGGGTGAGACAGCAAGTCGCTCGATGCCGTAATCGCCCAGGTTAATCACGGAACGGTACCAGTCCGCGCCGACGTCGTCCCACCATTCCACCAGAGTCGGAGCGGCACGCAAGAGCCCGTCGACAAAGCTAAGCTTCTTCTGCCTCTTGTACGCCATGCAATGCACGACCTGGAGCCCCTCCATGTGCGACGTGAGCGGGCCGTAAGGCAGGTCCGACCTCGAGTAGAACGAGCGCAGCTGGAAGGGCAAGGTGTCCGACTGGAACGGACTCGTGACCCGATTTGGGTCCTGAATCACCAGGGTCGCCTCCGACGTGCAGGCGAAGCGAACATCGATGCCCGTCAGATTGGGGCAACGGTAGTAGAGGCGGTCGAAGCACAGCTTCTGATCGAGCGTCGGGATGGCCACGTGCTGGAGCGTGGCGCTGCTGAGCTGCAGAACGTCCAGAATGGGACCGACGGCGCTCGAGGTCACAAAGCCTTGGAGCTTTACGCACGTCAAGGTTCCGTGCGAGCGGCGCTGGCAGATCTCGATCGCCGTGACGCAGGCCTGCACGGTATCGTAGTGCCATCCATCCTTGCCGGTGCTTTTGGTACGTCGAAAGTTGAGCGACTGCCACAGCTGCGGAATGCGACGCCAGTCGTGGCAGGTGTTGGCGAGATGGAGGCGATCCGTGATGCTGAGATGATTCGCGATCATGAGGATAAGCTCGACCGGAAAGTAGAGGATGCTGATCGTTTCGCCGTCGTTTCCGCTCGTCGGCTCGGGCTGGGGCTGGCACTGGCTCGACCGGACAAGCCTGCTGCGCTTGTTCTGATGGCCGCCGCTTGCTTTGGGGGTTGCCGAACGCTTCTGTCCGCGTGGCTGGCTGAGGCGAGCCGACCTGCGCCTCGCAACTGGCTCGGACTGGGTGCCTGCTGTTGATGCGACTTCGAGGTCATCGTCGGCTTGTACGTCTGCGCCGTATGTCGTCAGAAGATCCAACAGCCTGCTCGCGTCTCCGACCGCCAATGAGTACAGGCGCATCGCCGTGTACGCCTTGAAGCGGAGTCGCAGGCCCGTGCAGAGGTGACGAATGCCGTCGAGATCGTCGCGACCCGGTGCACCCGAGGCGTCCTCGATCAGCGTCGAAGCCAGCTGCACCAACATCTCGTGATCCTTTCGATCCCAAGCTGCCTGGAGGTCCGGGGTCCCAGATGCCTCTAGAGCCAGGGAGGAAAGCTGAGGAAGACTCGCGATCTCCTCCATCCTTCGCTCCTCTGCAGCCTGATCTTCAGCCATCTCGAGCCTCAGCGAGTGAGCACCTTCGAATTCGACCAGCTGCTGCAGCAGAGTCGACTTCGTAGTTTTGAAAGACTCGAGACGCTTTCGAGCTTTGTCCGTCTTGTTAGAGATGCGTGTCAAGTGAGCCTTCTCCCCTCGAGTTGCAGGAGGGTCGTAGGCTTCGAACTCCCACCGCACTTCTCTCAAATAGTCTTCGGATTCTGCCACCAAGCCCTCGAGATGGTAGAGCTTTTCGTCCAAATAATCTCTGCAGATTTCGTAGTCTTCAAAGTCGGTGAAGGAAAGAAGATCGGTCTCGTGATCGAAGAAACTGATCGTGTCGTCCAGGTCGGAGGAGTAGGGATCGTGCTCACCGTCGGATGCAGGCATCACCGGGATCGCACAGGGAAGGCTGACAGCCGTTGAGCCAGAGGGGCGAGGGGGGATGTGAATGTTATGGACGGACGGTAAGACGCATCGACGCGCAAAGTGCCGCCTTAAGTATGTGCTTGGCCTGCGCTGCACCTTGGCTGAGTCCAGCTCAACTCTGAGCGCAGCCGCGCCAAGAAGAAAGGAAGAAGGTCGACCTGCACGCAGATGAAGCGCAGTGGGCGTTAGGCGGCATACAGGGGCGGCCGACTGCGCTTGGGCCTCCAGCCTCTGCCTGCCGTGCAGTCTGACTGGCTGGCCATGGCGCTCACTCTTGAGAGCTGCCCTGCCCAGCGCCAGCGCAAGAGCACGCGGCGAGGAAAAAATGTGACTGTACGAAGGTTGCGGCAGTAACCGCATGCTGTTGCTGCAGAGCAAAGCTTTCTTGCGATGAGCCTTTTGACACATGAAGCGGCGGCGCACGGAGAGAGAAATTGCAGCCGCAATGCACAGCAGCGGCGCGTCCGTGTCGACACGCGTGGTGGCAAAGGTGTGAGGCGCAGAGACAGTGTGAGTGAGCCAAGCTCGGTGCAGGCTCGGATCGGCTACGGCCCGACAGCAGTCTCTCGCCGTCTCTCGCATGGCTTTCAAGCTGCAAAGTCTGGATTGGCGGCACACCCGACCGGCTTGCTGCGGTGACTTAAGTTACGGCCACTTGACAGGGTGCAGTTGTCTCGCAGTACTGAGTCATTCGAGCACTTCGACGCTCCTCTTTCGTTGCCGCTTGACCTTGAAGAGCGGCGTCCTTTAGCCTTAGCCTTCGGTGGCTATCGAGCCGTGCTGGGGTGGCTGGGACAGCATCCGCGCTTGACCGGCCCAAGCCACGCCTAAGTTGGTCAGCTCGTGTCGCCGTGCCTATCAACGCATTAGTCACTTTCGCGCGGGCCGGCTGCTGTGAAAAGCCAGCGCAGTCTGCCGCGAGATGAGCTGCATGCGCCTCTCTGGCTGAGTCGATCGTCAACCAAGTGGCCAAGCCGGCCTCGACACGATGCCGCTTGGCTCGGACCCAGACCGAATGCTCATCTGCATGGCCAGAGCACATGCAGAGTCTTCGAAGGGTCGGCGTTCCAACTCGACAGCTTGTACAATCTCACAATGCACCCGCAAGCAAATCATGGACTCGAAGACAATCGCGATATCACTCTTGGCTGTCTGCCGATCCGATTCGGAATTTTCGCCGATAAAAAAGTCGGCGCCGCTTCCGGTCAAGCTGGCAATCCGATTTCCTTCGGCCTTGGCGAGCCTTGACACAAGCAAGGGGCTTCATTCGGATTTGCTTGGGCGCCAACATCGAGGCTAGGCTCGTAGGCTCGGAAGTCGAACCGCCGATCCACTCGAACCCTCTCTCCGCGGAGGAAGAAAGTGCAACAGTGGATGGATAGGCAGGCTACGACAGGAGTGACAGCGGGTCTGACAGCGTTTCCCCGCACGAAGTCACGCTCATTCGCGGGTACGCAAGATTCGGAGCTTTCATGCCATCGTGGTCTTTCAAATCTCCGTTGCTGTCTCGAACCTAGCTCGATCAGACCATTGCGGGGTATTCCAGCACCAACGATCAGATAACCGGTCTTGTGAGTCGGCGTGAACTCAAGGTAATGGTGCTACCGATCTTACGAGCGAGCTTCGGGATGGAAGTGTAGCTCGCTTGGCCGGTGAAACGGAGCGGATGGAGGTACAAGGGCGTCTAGCGACCGGGTGGACGTAGATGCTCGAGGCTAAGTTAGCTGCACGATGGCGCCTCGGCTGCGAAAATCATCTTAGGCTGAGACTCGAAGTGCAGCATGATCGGCTTCTTCTGTGCTATCCTAGCGTGCTTTTCTTCCTAAGCGAGGCCCTGAGAACTGCAGCGAAGTTCGCATGCCGATTGTGAGCTTGTGGCCGGGATGGGTGTGTTCACATTAGATCAGTTCATCTTCGTGCGTCCGTCTGTTCGTTCCTTGGCTCGTCAAATCGAGGCCGAGCGGACGCTGCGGCCATGCGACATGCGATGTTACAACTCCGACGCTAGCATCGCACCGCGGATCATTCGGCTGCTCCTCTTCTGGCCCTGCACCTGCCAGCTGCAGCGCGCATCCTTATGATGGCAGCTCCGACGCTCCACCGCGGCGCGTACGACCGTCGGCTAGTGTGTTCCAGCCGCTCGGCTTCGAGGTCGTTCGGACTGCTTTCCCCCGCATCAAACGGCGGCCGGCTTCTGCATCCGACTCCGCTCCAGAACCCTGCCAGGGTCTAGCTGCTGCAGGCCAAGGAGAACGCCTCTGCAGCCTACCCGAGCAAGAAAATGCAGGCGCCACGGTAGGGCCAACATGAGACATCGTCTCGATGGATCGATCGTTGGATCGATTGGGGCAGCCATCGCCTATAAAGGCCAGCCATCCAGCCCGCAAGAGTATGCTAGAAGCCTCAAGCGACTTCACTCCCTCTCTTCCCACCCTTCCTCCTCATCCCCTCGACCCGAGCCCTACCCTCTCGCTCCCTTGCGTCTCCCTCCCACCTTTCGAACGATGCGAGTGTCCTTGCGCTCCATTACCTCGCTGCTGGCGGCGGCAACGGCGGCTGTGCTCGCGGCTCCGGCAACCGAGACGCTGGACCGACGGGCGGCGCTGCCCAACCCCTACGACGATCCCTTCTACACGACGCCATCCAACATCGGCACGTTTGCCAAGGGCCAGGTGATCCAATCTCGCAAGGTGCCCACGGACATCGGCAACGCCAACAACGCTGCGTCGTTCCAGCTGCAGTACCGCACCACCAATACGCAGAACGAGGCGGTGGCCGACGTGGCCACCGTGTGGATCCCGGCCAAGCCCGCTTCGCCGCCCAAGATCTTTTCGTACCAGGTCTACGAGGATGCCACGGCGCTCGACTGTGCTCCGAGCTACAGCTACCTCACTGGATTGGACCAGCCGAACAAGGTGACGGCGGTGCTCGACACGCCCATCATCATCGGCTGGGCGCTGCAGCAGGGCTACTACGTCGTCTCGTCCGACCACGAAGGCTTCAAAGCCGCCTTCATCGCTGGCTACGAAGAGGGCATGGCTATCCTCGACGGCATCCGCGCGCTCAAGAACTACCAGAACCTGCCATCCGACAGCAAGGTCGCTCTTGAGGGCTACAGTGGCGGAGCTCACGCCACCGTGTGGGCGACTTCGCTTGCTGACTCGTACGCGCCCGAGCTCAACATTGTCGGTGCTTCGCACGGCGGCACGCCCGTGAGCGCCAAGGACACCTTTACATTCCTCAACGGCGGACCCTTCGCCGGCTTTGCCCTGGCGGGTGTTTCGGGTCTCTCGCTCGCTCATCCTGATATGGAGAGCTTCATTGAGGCCCGATTGAACGCCAAGGGTCAGCAGACGCTCAAGCAGATCCGCGGCCGTGGCTTCTGCCTGCCGCAGGTGGTGTTGACCTACCCCTTCCTCAACGTCTTCTCGCTGGTCAACGACACGAACCTGCTCAACGAGGCGCCGATCGCTGGCATCCTCAAGCAGGAGACGGTGGTCCAGGCCGAAGCGAGCTACACGGTATCGGTGCCCAAGTTCCCGCGCTTCATCTGGCATGCGATCCCCGACGAGATCGTGCCGTACCAGCCTGCCGCTACCTACGTCAAGGAGCAATGTGCCAAGGGCGCCAACATCAATTTTTCGCCCTACCCGATCGCCGAGCACCTCACCGCCGAGATCTTTGGTCTGGTGCCTAGCCTGTGGTTTATCAAGCAAGCCTTCGACGGCACCACACCCAAGGTGATCTGCGGCACTCCCATCCCTGCTATCGCTGGCATCACCACGCCCTCGGCGGACCAGGTGCTGGGTTCGGACCTGGCCAACCAGCTGCGCAGCCTCAACGGCAAGCAGAGTGCGTTCGGCAAGCCCTTTGGCCCCATCACACCACCTTAGTCGGCGAGCACTTTCGGATGTTCCGCTACAGTTCCCACGGTCGATGCCGACCTTCAGAGATCACGAGTGACCTCGGGAAAGCCGAGGTCCCGACTCTGCTCCTTTTTTATCGTCTGCAATCAATGTAAAGGGTCCTCAAGAGCGAAGAGTGCGTTGAGAGTGCGTTGAGAGTGCG